TTTGAATTTTCATCCACCTTGGAATTAACTCTTTCTAGGACTTCATCTATCCGACCTAAAGATCACTGAGGTCATGATCTGACCTAGTATTTTCCCCGACTTCCTAGTCGTTTTGCACGCAGGCAAAATAAATACATCTTAGTAAAATAACAACGGTGTATTGTCGAGGCAACATGCAACCAAAAATCTACTTTTGTCTCAATTTCAATTCAAAACGGTAGAATGAACGCGTTGCAGTCTCGACAATTGAACCTTTGCTATTCTTTGACGCGCACTACGGCAGCTTGCGTTGATTTGACAGGAAGCGTTTCCTCTCCGACTGCAACGCCGGACGCCCCGTGGTCGGAAAGTAGCCAAAGGCAGTTGTTTCGAGTGACACGTAGCGCCAACATTATGCTTATTTCATTTGCATCACTCCGCTGACACAGAAATAGGCTGATTTGTAACTAGCTACATGGTTGGATGCTAAAGGCTAGCTGCTGTAACTTTTAGTAGCAGTCAATAGGCTACACCGTGGTCAACTCGTTTCACCACTGAAAACGACTAAAGGAACAGATAGACATAACGCACAACAGTAAAGAGCTATTATAAAATGTATAAAATAAATACATATCGAACCCGGAAACGGTATATTTACCTGACCGTAGTGGAAACTCATTTCGAAATTAACTTCGGTATCCGCACAGAATATATTCAATCCCACCTTCTGTAAACGGATTGGCACATTTAGCTTGTCAGTCAAAACCACACCTACGTAAAACGCGTCTGATTGGTCGAGAGAGTGGAACAAAACGATGACGGTTAAAACTAATGAGGGGGGGTTCGTTTATCTGGACCGGGATACACCGGTGCGAGGTGTTTGGTTTGGGTGAAAACTGATTGAATTCGTTTTGGAAACGGGCTGCCTACAGGCCGTGAGCCAGGTACCCGGCTCTGGCCGACAAAAGTGACATAATTAAGCACGTGGAGTGATGAGTAGAATTCTGTGTTTTTATTTTACTTAAAAGAGATGTATGTGTATGGGCAAGAGAGAGATAGGCTTTAGGCATGAGCACATAGGCCATCTCTGGTGCGTGAGCTAGCACCATTGGGTGAGGCAGTGAAATTGGAAAGCTTTTTTTAGGACTATAATTTCCTCCTCATATGGTACAATATGTGTGTCTCCACAGACCTCGGCTATTGATGGATTCAAGACAAGGTGGTTTTTATTGATCTCAGATTGTCAGTTTGCCAGTGTCAAAGTAGCCCGTCATTTTGATCATTTGTGCTGTATTAAAAAAGATTGTGCTAAAATCTCCAGTCATGTAAATGACATGTTAGCCTGTGTGTGCCTCTCTCTCTCTCTCTCTCTCTCTCTCTCTCTCTCTCTCTCTCTCTCTCTCTCTCTCTCTCTCTCTCTCTCTCTCTCTCTCTCTCTCTCTCTCTCTCTCTCTCTCTCTATTCAATTTAAGGTCTTTATTAGAATGGGAAACGTATGTTAACATTGCCAAAGCAAGTGAAGTAGATAGTAAACAAAAGTGAAATAAACAATAAATATTAACAGTAAACATTACACTCAGAAGTTTCAAAAGAATAAAGACATTTCAAATGTCATATTATGTATATATACAGTGTTGTAACAATGTGCAAATATCTCTCTCTCTCTCTCTCTCTGAGCATGACCTCTGATATACACCAAATAAGGACTCTGGTCAAATAGCACCATATCCCTCCATAGGACTCTGGTCAAATGGCACCATATCCCTCCATAGGACTCTGGTCAAATGGCACCATATCCCTCCATAGGACTCTGGTCAAATGGCACCATATCCCTCCATAGGACTCTGGTCAAATGGCACCATATCCCTCCATAGGACTCTGGTCAAATGGCACCATATCCCTCCATAGGACTCTGGTCAAATGGCACCATATCCCTCCATAGGACTCTGGTCAAATGGCACCATATCCCTCCATAGGACTCTGGTCAAATGGCACCATATCCCTCCATAGGACTCTGGTCAAATGGCACCATATCCCTCCATAGGACTCTGGTCAAATGGCACCATATCCCTCCATAGGACTCTGGTCAAATGGCACCATATCCCTCCATAGGACTCTGGTCAAATGGCACCATATCCCTCCATAGGACTCTGGTCAAATGGCACCATATCCCTCCATAGGACTCTGGTCAAATGACACCGGTCAAATGGCACCATAATCCCCCATAGGACTCGGTCAAATGGCACCATATCCCTCCCATAGGACTCTGGTCAATAGGCACCATATCCACTCCATAGGACTCTGGTCAAATGGACACCATATCCCTCCATAGGACTCTGGTCAAATGACACCATATCCCTCCATAGGACTCTGGTCAAAAGTAGTGCATTATATAGCAGTGAAGGTGGAAAAATCGATCCAGTTACATATCGGGATATTCTTTTTTGCACTAGTTTGGCTGTACCTGGACCAGAACTCCAGTAGTTTTCCTTCATAGCTTGTTTTCCATCTTCTTTTTAATAGGGAGCCAATTAGTTTTCATCACTTTTTATTTCCATGACTCTCACGGCTCTCTCTTACCCCTCTCCAGCAGACATATGGGGAGCAATATGTTTGGAACAGCCAATCACAATAAAATCACAGTATCGAATTGCAATACATATAGAATCGTAAGAATCGCAATACATATCATATCGGCACCAAAGTATCGTAATTGTATCGTATCGTGAGGTCACTGGCAGTTCCCAGCCCTACTATATAGATGCTAAGATGCCATTCGGGAAGGACCCAGTGAGCGCCGTGTAGTGTGTAAAACATGATTTATAATGTTTATGCATTATAAATCATGTATAAAATCATAAGTCAGTAACTAGTTAAAACAGATATGTACATGGCAGTGACGTCCCATTAGAGAGCACCTCTGGGGTAATGGGCCTTGCTAAGATGATACACCAGACTAGTTATCTGCAAAGGCAGTTAACTCAGTGTTGCATTAGAAAATGAACAACAATGATAACTTTGGTGTGTATATATACAAAGTATAGATAGGATAAAAACCTCCAGATCTTAACCATTATTTCAATGGTTGTTATGAGACTAAAATGGCTCAACTACCAGACTACATCAGTTCCTGTTTAATGAGGAGGAACACCTAAACCAGGACCAGATACAGGTTCATGACAAGCCACCTTTGAGTTGGGTAATGAGCAATGCAGTGGACCAGACACAGGTTCATGACAGGCCACCTTTGAGTTGGGTAATGAGCAATGCAGTGGACCAGACACAGGTTCATGACAGGCCACCTTTGAGTTAGGTAATGAGCAATGCAGTGGACCAGACAACACTTTAAAAGCAATCATTTGCATTGTACATAATTTCATCATCATCATAACAATTCTACCTGGGAAAGCATCACAGTGAGTATGGGGAGCACAGGGATTGGCGCTAGGCCTACAAGAAACACGGGGATTGGCGCTAGGCCTACAAGAAACACGGGGATTGGCGTTAGGCCTACAAGAAACACGGGGATTGGCGCTAGGCCTACAAGAAACACGGGGATTGGCGCTAGGCCTACAAGAAACACGGGGATTGGCGCTAGGCCTACAAGAAACACGGGGATTGGCGCTAGGCCTACAAGAAACACGGGGATTGGCGCTAGGCCTACAAGAAAACACGGGGATTGGCGCTAGGCCTACAAGAAACACGGGGATTGGCGCTAGGCCTACAAGAAACACGGGGGGGCCAAGAAACACGGGGATTGGCGCTAGGCCTACAAGAAACACGGGGATTGGCGCTAGGCCTACAAGAAACACGGGGATTGGCGCTAGGCCTACAAGAAACACGGGGATTGGCGCTAGGCCTACAAGAAACACGGGGATTGGCGCTAGGCCTACAAGAAACACGGGGATTGGCGCTAGGCCTACAAGAAACACGGGGATTGGCGCTAGGCCTACAAGAAACACGGGGATTGGCGCTAGGCCTACAAGAAACACGGGATTGGCGCTAGGCCTACAAGAAACACGGGGATTGGCGCTAGGCCTACAAGAAACACGGGGATTGGCGCTAGGCCTACAAGAAACACGGGGATTGGCGCTAGGCCTACAAGAAACACGGGGATTGGCGCTAGGCCTACAAGAAACACGGGGATTGGCGCTAGGCCTACAAGAAACACGGGGATTGGCGCTAGGCCTACAAGAAACACGGGGATTGGCGCTAGGCCTACAAGAAACACGGGGATTGGCGCTAGGCCTACAAGAAACACGGGGATTGGCGCTAGGCCTACAAGAAACAAACGATAGCCGACAACCCTGAAAACAGGGTGACCTATGTTTAGGACGGACGCCACTAGGAGCTAGCTCCAACCAGAGCTCTGCAGCTCAGACATTTGTAGTTTGGACCGACAACTTGCATCTTGTACCCCTGCTCCCCGCACTGCTCTAACAGAGGTGTTCAATCCCCAAACACAGATGCAGGTTATAAAGGAGGCAGAGGGGGTGAACTGCAATGAAAGAGAGACAATAGTTTAAGAGATGCTCCAATCACAGGATGAGGGTGGTTAAAGGGATGTAGCTCAGTTGGTAGAGCATGGCGTTTGCAACACCAGGGTTGTGGGTTCGCTTCCCACGGGGGGGCCAGTATGAAAAAATAAATAATGTATGCACTCACTGAACTGTAAGTCGCTCTGGATAAGAGCGTCTGCTAAATGACTAAAAATGTAAATGTTAAAAAAGTTAATACAGTTAAGCACAGCAAATCACCAAGTCACAGCACACACATGCAATCAATTAAGGGCAATCAGCAATCAATGAATGTCAATCAGCAATCAATGTATGTCAATCATTGGCGAAAGCATGCGTAGGTCAGTGAAAATTCAGTTAAGTAGGAAATCTAAAGTCCACCCTACGACATACGCTATCTCCTGACCTTAGATGGCCAAACTCTTCTCCCACTCCCAATTCACCCCCCATTCCAGCTTCAACTCATCACATGACCTCCTATTATTTCTTTTTCTCTGGTGGCAC